TGAACCAGTAATAACATGACAAGTGTCGAGACTCTCTCACACCAATTTTAATTGAAAAACTATTTTTATTTAATTTTGAATTATTTTTAGGGGGAGTCATCCCCAATGGAGATACTTTTGGTGATTACACAAAACGTAAAGTTACGTACGTGAATGCCCAGTTTCCAAGACGAGTTTAGTAATTACGATAGGACCTAGGAACACTTGTGTGCGTACATAATTATGATAGGGCATTCATGGCATTGTTTGTTCTGTTACGGAACATGCTGTCCTCCTAATGCTTCCATCTCTGGTGAGTGGCTTCATTATAGAGATCCTTATGTCGAAGTTTTTGATTGTTTCGATTATCTCCTTGTTTAACGGCTCAGTAAGGCAGTCCACTTGTGCTTTTATAGCCTACATCTTGATTGTGTTAATGTTGTACCAGTGGCCGTTTCAATCTCGGGAATTAGATCATTGAGTGTGCTTCTTGATTTCCAGAACGTCGTCTTACCCCTTAGCAACAATGGCATCGAATTCTTCCACAACTTTGATTGTTCAAGCGTTAGGTTAGCATCAATCTATTTTTCTAATGCTTTATGCTTTGCTTTTATAGCAATGGAGATGGCTTTGTTTTTGTTATTCTCCTTTGATGGAGCATAACAAATCTTTGAAAATTAATATTTGTGACCAAAAAAAACAAACACTACTATTGTTTTTTTTTTGGTCACGAACACACTTCGTTCACTGACTAACCAAATGCAGAAGTATCCGAGAACCAATGAGGAACCGAAGTGCTAATATTCGTAAAAACTGAATGCCTGCCGAGCGTTCCGAGCAAGTAAGTCCGCCTTCTCATTCTTTTCCCGGGGAAAATACGTAAGAGTAAAGTCTGAGAAATAAACTCGTAGCTCCTTCAACTAATCTAGTTCTGGCTTAAAGCGAGGCCATCTGTCAGGTTCCAGTACCATCGCAACCAACTCTTGGGAATGTGTTGCGAAAAGCGAACAATATCTTCTTTTTCTCCGTAAGCTTTCCATTGCCCATAGTAGACTGTGCAGCTCCGTGTGAAGAGGCGAGATACCCTGCGTATCCCTCGTAACCCAAGAATATATGTCTTCCTGTTTTGAACATGTATGATCCATCCTAACCCACTCGTGGGTTCCCCTCCTTCCAGGATCCATCCACAAAACACTTAATGATCACATTTATCAGGTGTGGGGACGTTGCCGTCTGACTTCCCCGGCCAACCTGTTCCATCGACCC